ATATTAACAAATTAACAAAAACATTTCTATAGACTGAAATAAAATATACAAAATAAAATATAAGCTACAACTAAATGGCAACTATAACTATTGATTACAAAATCAACTGAGATGAAAATCAGAAACGTGTAATACTTCCCATTACCGTTTGAAATACTGTTAAGCTAAAGTAATGATTTGTTTATATTTGGGCCTCTCATGCAAAGAACTTGAACGACAGAAATAGTCAATGGCAGCAAATCACAACACTTTGTAGTAGCCAGCAACGTCTTGCAACTTTCTGTCTCCCTCGAAATACAAATACTAAAACCTTAAGTAAAATATATAACAACTAGGACTGGGTATTGGCGATTCCACTCGGAACTGCTAACAGGGTAAAATTCAAGTTCTGTAGTAAATGCTTGCGTCAGTGATAATGACACACGTGTGTTAATTTATTTGTCCACAGGGCGCCTGGTTCTGCAGTGAATGAAATGCTATTTCCAGCGTGAAGGTTTCAACAGAAATATAAGAATATAACTTAATGCTGGGGACTGTATGTCTGTTTAGTTCAGCTCTTCAGATGTTAAAATTTGCTGAACGTGGCTTCAGTGGATGACAGATGGGGTGTCCTGGCCCCAGGGATGCAGTTTAACAGCTCTTTGGTCTATGCAGTCTACATTCAGCTCTCTCAGTGATCATAGATCATCTACGCAATGATAGGAAATTCAGTGTTCAACAGTTAGATGTTCCAGGAAAAAACAAAACGGCTAGGAGACCGGGCATGCAGCAGATCCTGACACATCCTGGCTCTCTCTGATACATTTATTAGGTCTTCTGCTGAAATTGGGCGGCAGTGTGATGCTAATTCTGTGTCGGCCGATGAGAGGAAGTCACTGGAATTTGTAATGGTCCCGATACGGCATGTGCATACACATTTAATGTGTCAGCACCTGGATACTCCTTACTGACAGGCATAATCAATCAAACCCCGGGATGTTAGATGCTGTGATCACTGGATGGCGCTTATGTCCAGGGGTTGTGCAGATTAACGCATTCATACGTACGCTAGTCTAGGTAACATGAACATTACACTGGAAGGAGGGTGATGTGGTTTGCAGGCTGACGTTTGCCTGGCCTGTATTACTCATTTCTGTCAGGGCTGGCTGCTAGAATGGATTCCCATATAACCTATAGCTTACACAGCTGGTGTAACTGCATTATTTATTTCACTTAAATGCTCTTATTAAATGTGTTGCTGTTTTTGGGTGCATAGATTACCAGGCATTTATAGCCCCGTTTAACTATTCTTGAACACTGCCTCTGACCACATCCTTAAGCACTAATACAAAAAAGGTGCTTGTGGGTGGATGGATGGAACTTTCTTTTTCCCCAATTGCAACATTTTGGACGGAAGCCTGGTCTATGCATTTAAGAGCCAGTGCTTGTGCCAGAGTAACACACGCAGTGCAGAAATGCGCTGACTCATCCTGTCACATCCTATCTGAGAGGACTGCCCGAGCTGAGGTCTATAACGATGTTGGCAGTAGCTGGGGTGTGTGGTGGTCGTAAGTGGAATTTAAAACGCCGCTCTCCTCTGGAAAGAATGGCATCTGTTGGAAAGTTGCACGTCCTGGTGGGGGGTGGGGGGTGGTGGGGGGGGGGCTCAGTCTACAAGGCTGCCAGTAAAATAAGCCTTTTTTTTTTTTTTTGGAGCTGTGCTAGTGAGACCACTGGGCCGCGGTTTGGGCGGGGCAGCATGTCTGCCCCCTCCCGTCAGCGTTCGCTTCGGGTCACCATGGCCCCTGTGGGGCCCGGTTCTGGATTGGCTCTGTTCTTGTGCGTTTATCCGGGACAGAGTGCGTAACCGGTGTCAGGAACTCTGTGTGGAAAAAGAACACGGTATCTGTTCCCGGCAGCGTCCTGCAAGGTCCGGAAGGTGAAACTCTGCACTGTACCGCTGTTTTAAATTAGGGCAGTGCTTCTTAGAAAATAAACTGCAAAATGCTGCTGTTCTGTGGCATCACTCAGTATTACCCGGGTGTTCGCCGGATTACTGCTGACCTGTTATGCTGTTCCTTCTGCTAAGATTTTAACTTCATCTAGGGGATGTAGGGTGGGACATTACGTCCTGTCAATTACACACTAACGTCTAAAAGTAAACGATGACGAGTGTGAAGGAGGAGTAGCCTTTCCAGTCACTGCTGACTTTCTAGAAGGGGAATCTGAGAACTTCTGACATTCCTCTATCTGGATTGAGGTCAGCACTCTTAAGTGATATCTGATGTTAATGGAGAGCTTGCTCTGCTTGCCAGGTTCTTGTCCAATACAATGTGGCTCAGGAAGACTTTTCACCTGGGTCAGAGTGTCAGTCCTGTTTTTCTCTGCTGTATCCGGCGAACGTGTTTCCAGCGTGCTGCTTCTGGTAATGATCCTGGAACACCATGTCGTCACGTATATGAAGAACTTCTGCAGGTCATCTCTAATCTCCTTAGGAAGTCCCTTTGCCTCGTTTGTCTGAAAAGAATCGGCTGACTGCAAAGGCACACATTGGCTGTGTTACCACCTGTAACCCCCCCCCCCCTTATTTCCCAGGCAAGCGTGGGCGCTGGTGTCTGTGGTGGGGGGCGGGAACGGCTCCTGCGTGGAGGAAGTGCGGGAGCACGAGAACCACGACACGGGCGGACAGGCGCTGGCGCGCAAGGAGTTCATCACGGTGGATGGGGTGCGCTTCAGCGTCAGTGCGTACAGCGAGTGGAAGAACGGTGCGTCATGCCTGCGTCGTCGTCCGGGTTCGAAAGCGTCGCAGTGCTGGCTTAAGAGCAGCTTCTGACCTAAGATACGATTTGGTGTACTTGATGATGATGATGATGATGATGATGTCGCTCAGTAATAGTTATCAGATGAGAGAGACAGATCTGTCTGTCTCTGTATCATCATTGGTATAGAGGTCCCTTCTTAATGTTATTTTATAATTATTATTTATCTATCTACTGTCTTATTGCACACTATTGCAATGTGTGATTCTTGCCCCATGTGAGCTTAATGCCTCATTCTGTTGTGTATGTGCACATGGACAATAGCCGGCTTTGTCTTTCTCCTGAAAACTAACCCTCGTCTTCCAGGCTTCCCCATATCCGGTTTCCAGGTGGATGCTGTAGACCAGGTGGTGCTTAACCTGAAGGATGACGCACGGAGCTGGAGGCCGGGAGATCGCATCGTGGTCGCCAGCACCGACTACTCCATGTACCAGGCTGAGGAATTCACCCTGCTGCCCTGCCCCCAGTGTAACCAGAACCAGGTCCGCATACAAGGTTGGGCAACAGATCTGCATTTGTCATTTCTGTTTGTATGACAGTGATGTAGTTCATTAGTGATTCCTCCTTTAAAGATCACAGTTGCTGCAGTTAATGAGGATTTGTATAACAAATGATGTTACTTAATGTATCTGGAATGAAGCTTGGTATTTGTTTATTTTGTTGGGCGTCACAAGAATCACTGAGAGAGACGTGCACGTTCCAAAACATGACATTCTTCGTTAGGAATGGCTCATTAGTTAGGATGTTGCTAATTACATAACTAATTGCTGTGTGTTTGGGAGCAAGCAGTAAATTATTACCAATTATTAATTCAAGCTAATGTTATCAGATGTTCTTGTGAAGGGACTTCACACTGAATTCTACTTTCATTCTTCTTTTTACTTTGGTAAGACTGTCCCGTTGGTGATTTCCTTTTATCCCCTTTGGGGTTGAATAAAGTGCTCAGACTCTGATTTAATGTGCATTCATCTTATGTCACCTGAATTCTGTTATTGTCATTGTGTCTTATTAGATTTTTACAAGGTGCCACTTTTTTATTTAACCTGATCAGAGTTTTGTCACAGAAGACATTGTGATGAATGTGCTAAAAGCACTAAGTCTCACATATTTGAGGACATACCTTAAAAAAAAAAACAGAACTTCAGTGAATGGCTAATTAAACCAACACGAGGGACTCCTTGCAGTGGTAACCACTGCGAAGTAACTTCTGCAGTTTGAGCTGGTGCAGGATGGACTTGGTAATTGGTAATAAATCCAAAACCCTGGTTTTCACGAAACACTTGCCCTTCCTGTTCACTGAAGAAACATTACCGTAGGAGTCACTGGATCAATGGACTGTAACTAATGAAGATGCTCTGGCTTCTTTTTCCTGTTTGTTAGCTTGAGTAGCCCTTCATGACACTGTTCACCTTTATTTCAGCTTCAGTACTGAAAAATAAACTTTAAACAAGTCTGGGGTCTTAGAGCCGCAGTGTTGTCATGACCAGTCCCACATGGGCAATATTTGTTTGTTTGGCCAAGGGTCTTGTTGAGTGGAGCTTTATACAAGCCTGTCTATTCTCTGCATTATTACTGTAACCAATTCTCATATTTCACTGCGTCTGCATTGCCTGGCCTCTGAAGGCCTTCCAGAAACAGAGCTGCCCAGCAGTTATATTTAAAACATTTTATTTGTTGCCCGTGCCCCCTGTGCACAAAGAAATCTACTAGTTGACTGCAGGAATGTGCTGTAACGATTAGCATCGTGCCAAAGTTGGTATCTGAGGATTTGTTAGTAATTAGGATTACTGTCATGCTAAAGTTAGTATCTAAGGTTATGTTAGTAATAAGGATTGGCGTTATGCAAAAGTTAATATCTAAGGTTCTGCTAAGAAGTTTGATGGACTTCCGGGAGGCCTTAGAGAGAGCAGATGTGGTCATGGCCTTAAGTCACACTTGGTAGATGGTGTCAGAAGCTGAAAGGGAAGTCAGTTCCTCATAGTGTGATGGGTAACAGATTGTGGTATATGGCACTGGCTGTAAAGCTCACTAACGTGTGCCGCTCGGGGTGACCCGTGCAGCGCGGTGCGGAGAGAGCCTGCCTTTCCTGGGTGGGCCGGAAGACGCGTTTCCTCTCGTTGGCACTGCCTGTTTTTGTGCCTGACAACAGAGGACTTCCTCTTGCAAGGGACTACTTCATGCATGACTGCCAGCTGTGTTGGTAGACAGAATTTTACGCATTTATGTAGTAAGGTGATTCGTGTTGAGTCCCTTTGGTGATCATATCAGCGACAGAATAGTTTCTTTAAGAAGGGAATGACGACCATCTACTTTAAACAGTGTGTCTACATTTGTGCATATTTGTCAGCCCTGTCCTTCCTCCCCAGTAGGGCGCCCCCTGTCCTTCCTCCCCAGTAGGGCGCCCCCTGTCCTTCCTCCCCAGTAGGGCGCCCCCTGTCTCGTCCCGTGTCCTTCCTCC